TAAAGGAAAGACAGGTGAAGCCGAAGGAAATCTTGGGAATATGAGATTTCACTAAAACCAGATTGGGAAAAAAATATATTTCAGGAAAGAGAAAAGTGAACAATTTTGTTGAATGCTGCAGGGAGTTCAAGTAAAATAAAAAATAAGTATTGACCATTGGATTTGACAAGATGAAATGGTGTAGATGTGAGAGACAAAGGTATTTAGCTGAGTACTCCAGGAAAAAGACTGTAATGGCTAAAAAGACCACAAGAACTGTAAAGAGAAGCCAAAACCTGGGACTGTAACTAGCTGTTTCTTTTCCAAATAGTAGATGCTACAGCATGTTTATATGTCAATAATAATGATATTACAGAAAGTAAAAAATCAAATGATACAAGAGTGGAAGTGTGGCTCAGTGCACAAAAGAGGCCACCAGGATATCCTAGCTCTTACAGTAGGATAAAAGGAAGAAAGTAGATCTACATGAAGATGCATAGATAGATTTGCTGGGAGGAAAATGATGTGGTAGCAATCCAATTGCTTATATTTTCAGAGAGAAAATCATTGAGTATAAAAAATATATTGCTGAAAGTCTGAAGAGAGAAGATATGAAAACATTTGGGACTGTGGAAGACAGGAAGATCATATCATAGACAACATCATATCATAGATAATTATTATGCAAGGGCTATGGGTCCAGTTGAGTTTATGGTCATTAATATTTGTGGAACCAGTTATCATAGTTTTCTTTTTCTCTAGCCAGATTCAGCTGTTGCTATGCAAAAACAGAATAAAAAAGAAAGTTGGTTTGCAACAATGTTGGAATTTTTCCAATGAATGAAACAGAAAGATGTGTGTGAGGAATCTGAAGGGGTATGCAAGCAAACAATGATGCTGTTACATCTTGGAATCTAAGCTGGATAAAGGGTAAAATAAATATGTGGAGGGCAATAAACAGTGAAATGTGGTGGTTAGTGGATTAGCAGCTCCAAAGATCTTAAAGGGTTGTTAATTGGGTCTTCCAGAGTATGTGAACTAGAAAAATAAGAGCTGGAGTTTAGAGAGTGGTATGTGAAGACAAGATTTTGGGATCATGTAGCTAGAAAAAGAGTAGTTACTCATAGCAGAAAATAGAGAATATCACTCTATAGAAAACTATGTATACTATATGCACACACATTTGTGTGTGTGGAGGAGGAGGCGGGTTCTGAAGTTATTACTTTCCAGTATTCATCTATCACAATACAGATAGTGTAAGTTTTAATCATTGTAACTGTATGTGTAATACTGCATGTTCTGCTGTTTATTCCTCCTTTTCTAAATTATCTTAGATAGTGTTAATCATTTATTCTTCAAGGTAAAATTTTAAATAATCAAAAATACCCCATTGGTATTTTGCTTAGGATTTAAATACATTTATTTTATAATAACTTCCCTCCAGCAATGTAGCCTCTGTGTTGACTTTTATATTATTTTAGAAAGTGTTTTTTATAAAAAATGTTTAGAAGAATGTTATGTTTTTTAAAAAGCATAATGCAAATAAAGATTGCATTGCAATAGCCAATACATTTTTGCTATTGTAAAACCAAGCTATGATTTTTTAATAAATATTTTATATGATATCAGCTTACTGAGCTTACAAAATTTTCAGTTAGCCATCTTGGATTTTCTAAATAAATTGTCAGCTTATAAACAAATATGATTTTCTTTTATTTCTAATATTTAGAGTTTACAATATTATTTTCATTTGCTAAAATTTGCAGAACATTTTGGATACTAGTAGTAAGACCAGGTATTTCTAAATTATTTTAACCTCATGGGTAATACAAAAATGCCTTTTCAAATATAGATGTATTTTATAAACTGTAAGAGAAAAAATAAAGTCAGTGATTCTCCTCAGAAATTGAATCTCCAAGTGTTGCAATATGAGCAAACCAGCTACATACAAAACTCTTTCTTTATGGTAAATAATTATAGGTTGCAAAAATGTCCTCTGTTCTCCATTTGTCCTTTATCTCTGCCCCTTTGCAATGACACTTTGCAGCTCCTCCCATCAAGAGAGGTTACTCTCCCCACCTGTTGAATCTGGGCTGGCCTGTCATCTGCTTTGGCTACAGGATGTGGAAGTAACAGTGTGCTGGTTCTGGGCGTAAGCCTCTAACAGGAAGGACAAAGAACTATCTTAAACATAAATCTAAGAATTGTGTGTATAGTGAAAAGAAATGTGTCTAATTGCAATTGAGTAAGAGGGTATAGAACTGAAAAATAATTGCCAGCATAGGATATTTCAGAAAATAAACTATTTCGGAGAAAATTTAAATGACAGACTTTTTGAAATGTTAGAAAAAAATAGCTTGTCAGAAGTTAGACTCTGTTTGCAAAATCGTTGCTTTTCTGAAACGATAAGAAGATTCCTAAAACTAATGATTCATAAGAGCATTCCAGAGTTTTAAAATTCTAGGAGATAAAAATTCTTTCTTCATTTGCCTTCATTAGGCAACACACTGACAGTCTCAGAGGGGCGGCCCAAGACAGCTTGTTCAACAGCTCTTATACCCTGAAATGGCCATTTCAGTTTTAATGCAGTGACGGACTGCTTACTGTGCTCTTTTTTTTTTTTTTTAAGTGATTTTGGCTTCACTGTACAAAAAGTCCCATTTCAGTGTATCAGGTTTATGTCTCCTCATTAGTGTTTGGCAAGAAAAATCAGGCAACATATGTATTCAACTCATAACAAGTTTACGAGTTTGTATTTTAATCCACTTCTGGGAAAAGACAAGCAGCCAAAGATCCAAATGATATATTAATGGTCTAAATTGTACTTCAATTCATCTTTTCCCAACACATGAGAAGTAATAAGACCTAACTAAGCATTCCATAAGTCTTTTCAATTAAAATTGGCTCGCACTTGAGGTCACAGACCATCTCAGTAAAACCTCAGATTCCACACGTTGCTTGGTGTCTGAGCCTCTACTTCAGTATCGGGAATCCTTGTATCTTGATGGTTATCAATATTGTGTGTGTGGGGGGGTGTCTTACTAAAAAATCCAGTGTTCTTAGGTTGCAAATACTCATGAGCAGACCAATACTAGTGACTTCAAATGAATATTTTATTTCAACTGAAATACTTGCATTGGTTATATTTTGACTTGTTCTAAAAAGGATTAAAGCATCTTATTTACAGACAATGAGCATTTTGGAAGTTTGCCTTTTATGAACATAACATCATCATTTAAAGAGCCCTAAGTATATAAAAATATATAGTTTTCACTTGTCTTTTGGGAAATTAACTGTGATTAAAAAATGTTATTAGAATGAAAAACAGCATGCATATATTGTATGATTCCATTTATATGAAAAATCCAGAAAAGACAAATATAGAGAGACAGAAAATAGATTAGTGATTGCCTGGGGCTGAGAGTAGGAACAGGGATGACTTCAAATGCACACGAGAGATCTGTTTGCGGTGATGAAAATATTCTAAAACTGGCTTGTGTTACACAGCTCTGCAAATTTACTAAAAATCATTGAATTGAGCACTTAAGACTTTAAGGTGAACTTTATGTTATGTAAACTGTATCTCATTGTTCTATTAAAAAAAGAAAAAGGAATATTTTAAGAGAAACTTGCAACTATTTATAACATTTTCCAATTCCTTATCGAAACAAGAAGGCTCCAATAAGCTTCCATTTACTAAAATATATCACAGGATGAATAAACCTAATCTTTGAAGGGCTCCCTTAACCTTTTCTGCCTGTTCTAGATGCCAGAATCATGACTTTGTCAATTGGACCCATCCTGTATATAATACCTGAAAAGATGGTTTAAATTTTAAGTTCTAAATACATCCAAAGTTTTAACTGAGATTGCTGAACAAAGGAATCAAACCATGTACACAACCTAAACATAATTATACACACCTTGCAATGGAATTCTGATATGATTATTCCATTTCCTTACCCTAAGGAACTGATAAATCTCTTAACATACTATAAATACAATAGCAACAGTAATAGTAGAAATTTACAGATCAAGGGAATGAAAGAGTTGGCTAGCAGTAGATCTTGCTCAAAGAAGTTCTGGGGGACATACTTCTGGCAAAAGAAAATATTTAAGTTAGAAGGTCAGAGATAAGAGAATGATAAAGAAAATAGTAAATCTATAGGTAAATATAAACAAATATTGACTGTATAAAATAATATTAATGCGATCAGTAAAAAAGAACAATATAACATTTTTAAAAAACTATGTATGTTTGGAAGGAGTAATCAACATCAAAATGTTGTGTCCTTGGATTTTTTTAGAATGAGAGTAGCTGTATTCATTAATTTTAGAATTTGATGAATGTGCATGTATAAATCTAGGACCACCATCAACAAATAGGAAACAGTGTATATGACCTTTAAAATGTTAAAAGAAAAAATAAAATGAGAAACAGTGATCAATGAAACGAAGGCAAGAAGGAAGAAAAAATATGGAAAGACAAATAAAATACAAAAAAAATTGTAAAGTGATAATATTTACTGAGTGTTTACTATGACGTGCCAGGCATTAAGTGCTTAACAAAAATAGTGCTATTTAATTCACAAAGTAACCCTGAGAGGTAGGTGTTATGCCCATTTTATAATAGAAGAAACTGAATCTTAAAAAGGATAACTAACTTAACAGTCTCACAAAGTAGGTAGCAGGGTGAGCATTTGGATCCAGGTCTGTGTGTCCACTGTGCAGTGGTTAGAGCATGGGCCTCATGGGAAGCCATCCTGGGTGTACGTGTGGGTGCCCCCTCTCCAGCCGCACATCCGTGGGGAGGCTTTGAGAACTCATAGTGCTCTCAGCTCCTACATTTATAAAATGAGGATAATGGTGCTATGTAGCCATTATACACTTTTCAGAGAATTAAATGAGATAATGAATGTAAACCTCCTAGCACACAAAAACTGTAGCTTTTATCATTATATGTAATTAATGCAAATAACTTTTATTCATTCACTCAATTCTCTCTTTCTCTGTGCCACCAGTCTGTGATCTTTATTCGTGACAGAAATTCTCATGGGCAGGAGGTGTCAGGATACATTGACTATGCCCACAGGCTAAAGATTGAAGATTTTGAAGTCTACTTTAGTGGAAAAAGACGACTTCTGCCAAGACACACAGATATGAGGTAAGTTACACACCTTTCACACCTTCAATTGGAGAACAAGTTCCACAGAAGCAGGAATAAAGGATTCTCATTTTATGTTCTACATTGTGCTTAGAGAGCTAGTGTGCATGTAGTAGGAATGTAAGAGTGGTTTGAATAAAAAACAAATAAAATTTAAAATGGGGAATGAACACAGATGCATTTTTCCCATTAACTGGCTAAGGAAGAGAACTTCTCAGAGATGAGATAAGTAAATTCTAAGTGACATTCCTTTTAAAGGTTAAGTAGAGCCTAAAATTGTTAATCTCATAAGGCTTTACATCACTTGGGACTTGCACTTGTTCTGCCTAGAATCCTCAAGAGCAGTCTAACACATTCTCCTCCCACTTTTCTTTGGCCCCCAACCAAAGTACAGGCCTCTGACCAGCTCAGTCTCATTTACTGTCATCACTGCTCTATTCTGGGATTCCTTCTCACCCATCATTCTTTTCACTGTTGACCCCTACCCTGTCCTCTGTAGACCTCATCCCATCACATAGGATCTACTCTATACTGTTGCACAGATCAGTCTTTCTACCACCTTCTGAGTAGCTCTCAAACTGAATTTTTTTGTTCTCCCACTTTCCATAGAACCCATTCTGCTTTAACTTATGGCTGTTGTCTCTGATCATTATTTGATACTTGTAGCAACACTCTCCCTCTCTGACATCCCTGCCATCTTCTATCTGTTCTTATTGCTATTAACTTAGTGTTATTAACTTCCTAACCCATCACCACTTAATGGACCTACTCTTTTCCTACCCAGCCTAGATGTAGGCATGTCATTTAGCCTCTCTCCTATAATAATCCTCACTCCCCATGTCTTTTTGTGATTTAGTTGTATCTATCCTGCTAGCCTAAGAAAGTATGGACATCCTCTTCACTGTACCTGTAGCTGGACGCCGGGTACTGCTGAAGGAGACTTTAGGAAAGTTCACTAAGGCATTGATGGCTGCTATTAATAAGTCAAGTTCTCCAAACTCATTTGAGCGCTTTGTGGCCCCAGCCACCATTTATTGTTTTTTCTCAATACTTAGTTTCACCCTCCTTCCCAAAAATATTCTAAAGCTATGCCACTCTCTGCAAATCTTTGTTCTCAGCTGCTGACCCTGACCCCTCTAAATATATGATTTGCCTCACATTTCAAGGAGAGTTTTGGGTCTAAACATAAAAACTACCAACTGAGCTATCTGTCTGTCAACCAAGATTGACTTCCTCATTAACCAGTGTCCCCCTCAGAGTGCCCTTCTGATGATTTCCAGTCACCATTCCGTTACAGAAGCCATCACTCCCGAGGCCCAGCATCTCCATTCTGAGCATGTCTGTTCCTCACTCCTGGAACACCACCATGCTATTTTGTCCAGCAGCCTGCCTCTCAGAGGGCCAGTTGGCTGCAGATTTATCCATGTTCCCCCAACACAGCAAGGCTTAGTTTCCTCAGAACCATGAGGGAGTATGTGCCCTAAGAGTAACTGAAGCTTTTCTGGTGACATTTCTGAAATAAAGTAGGTCTGACCTCAGGTGACTGAACCCTCTACTTTATAGAAACAGGTTTTTTTTCTTGAAAAAAAAAAAACAACAGTAATTCATTCCTACTATGTAAAATATTCCTTAATGCATGTGTTTACTCTTACCACATTTTCCCAGATTCACAGAAGAACTCCTTGTCCTTTTTAAAGCTAATTGATTCAACTTGTTTTTTATGCTTTCTGCCCTTCTTTCCACTGAAGCTATACTATATCTGATGTTCCCTCTTTCTGAAAAGAGTCTCAGAATGACCCTCTTGACTGGTATCTTTATCTTGCCTCTAAGCATGCTGAAGTCATTTTGATATTAAAGAAAGGAAATTGTCTTTGTACTCCTTATCTCTGTTTCCAGCTAAGCTCCTCTAAATGTCTCCAATTCTTACTTCTCATATAGGCACTAACCCATTGTAATTAGTTCTCTACCATAATTATTCAAATGAAATGACTCCTGCTAAAAATCATCACTGACCACTAATTTCAAAATCCTATGGATTATTTTCAGTTCTCATCTTACTTATCTTCTCTGTATTATTTAATTAGTTGATAATCATCATGGTGATTAATCCTTTCTTCTCAAAACTATTCAAGTACTCTAAATTTTTATTCTCAGAATCCCTCACTGAACTCTCCCCTTGTTTATTTCATACATGTTGGTATTCACCCGAGTTCACCCTTAGACTTCTTTTCTTACCATATACATTCTACTGGGCAATTTGTTCAACCCTAGCATAGATTTCTCTTCTTCATTTCAGACTCAAATCTTCTGCGCACTTCAGAGAACCTTCTTGTTTTTCCATTAGCTCTGAAATTTATTTTCAAAATTCATTTTAACCCCAGAAGGCTACTATTGCTTCTGTGTCCTCTATCTTAACAATTGGCACCACCCTTACAGTCCAAGGCAAAATCCATATGTTCTCCTAGACCTCCTCCCCTCCGTCACCATCCCTGTAACTAATGAGTTACTAAAAATACTAGATTTTAATACCTTCACAGCCTTGTTTATACTACAGAATATATATGTCATTTCACCTGAAAACACAGTATGACTCTAATAACATTTTAAAAGAAAACATCATGAAATTATGACAACTAACAAAATAATACCTTAATGTCATCTAATACCTGGTTAGTTCTCATTCATGTTTCATTGATTGTCTTAGTTATCATTTCCCATCGGTTTGACAAATCAAAATCCAAACAATATTGTGTTTTCTTATTCTATCTTTCACAACTCTTTTGCATTAAAATAGCCCCTCTCCTTTTTATCTTTCATGCTACTGATTTATTGGAGAAAACAGGTCATTTGTCCCAAGAAATGTCTCATATTCCACATGTGACTGATCACCGTCATTCTGCTCTTTGTTATGCCCTGCTTCTGGTCTCCTATTGCCTGTCAAGTAGTTTGATGAAATTCAGTTTTTCTTTTAAATGAGAATTTTTAATATATAAAGCTTTGTGAGCTTGATCAGTGGGTTCAGGTGGTATCAGTCTGATCACTCCATTATACAGTTTCTTCATCAAGTTTTGCAATGTGATTTTAGCATACAATAATGAAGGCTACCTAAATATTTTTACTGAGGGTTGTAAAATGGTTATTTTCTAATTCTATCATTCATTCTGCTATTTTAGCTAGAATTCTTCCATTGAGAGTAACTTTTCCTCATCACTTATTAGGTCACCCTGAAATAGAATTCAATTCATGCAGAAAGACAAAAACAAATATTATTTTACTAAATGTATGAGGAAATGCAAAGCCAAAAGCACAGAGGAGTATACAGATAATGCCAAATTGTTTCCAAAGTGGTCGTTTCAATTTTTGTCCCCCAGAAGTACTGCACAAGTGGTCTAGTTAACCCTCATCCTCACTAACACAGATGCTAACAAACTTTTGTTTCCACTCTGGTGAGTTAAATGATCTCTCACTGTGGTTTTTATTTTCATTTGCATGATTACTAATCAGGTTGGTATTTAATGGTTGTTCAGATTTCCTTTCTGTGAATTATCTATTAAGACTTAATTATTTTCTATTGGTTCTTTATTCTTCTTGTTCTTGTAGCTTGTAGGAGTTCTTTTTCTTTTTCTTATTTGGATATTGTTTAGTACTTTGCCTCTTACATGTTTTAAAAAATATCATCTTCCAGTATGTAATACTTTAATTTCCTTTACATTGACTTTTGATGGTCAGAAGTCAAAAGTTTTGATAGTCAGATTAACACATTTTATTAATCTTTTCCTCTAACATTTATATTTGTGTTTTAACAAAGCCTTATCATTCTAGAGGCCATAAGGATATTGTCCTAAAGAGTATTGTAATTTTGCTATCTATTTTATATCTTTAACCTACACAGATTTAATAACATATAGTGGTTAGGTAAGGGTCCACTTTTTATTATTTTCACATGTGACTAATAATTTGTGTCGTAAGTTAAGTTCTGTATATGTTGGGTTGTTTCTGGGCTCACTCTTTTGTTTTATTGGTCTCTCCTTGAAATAGTAAAATCTTTCTCATTTGTTATATTTTCATAATAATTCTTAATAGAAAAAAAGGTAATTTATTCACCTTATTTTCTTTCTTCAGGAGTACCTAGGCTATGCTTGCCATTTACTCTTCCATATAAATTCTAGAATTGACTTGTGAAGTTCACATACACAAAAAATTGTAATTTTGATGGCAATTTCTTTCAAGTTATGACCAATGGACAATTAATTGACAGCTTTATGATATTAGTCTTCCATTATTTATTTACATTTGCTTATGACTTCTTCAATGTCTTCTGATGATATTTTATAATTTTCTTAATTAAAGTTTTATCATTTGAGTTTTTTTTTCTCCTCAGTGCCAGATAATTTCTGACTATTTAAACAAAAATTACCTCTAGTCCAGTAATCCTACTGATTGTTACCACATGAATTTAATTTAAGGAATCTATCAGAATCAAAATTTAGATTTTTCACTCAATAGGTTTCATGCCAATAAATGACTTGAACAGTTGTTACTAAGGGGAAAATATCTTGTACATGTAGTTGCATACTTAGAGTCAGTACTAAGGCAAACTTCAAGATTAGAGATTTCATAATGTTTCTTTCTATTTAGTTAACTTTTGGCACACTGTTTTATTCTACTTAGGAAGAAAAATTAGTTCTGTGATTAGAATCCTGTTTTATATTTTTACTGTAGAAAATATGTCAATAGACAGCTGCAACTATTATAAAATGTAGCAGAAGAAAACTCCTGAGAACTTGATTATCTTGTCAGTTGACTCCATCTTGATTATGTGTTTAAGATTCAAAACCTTCCTCTCAGCACACTTGTGAATAACATAAGTGAATAGCATGTGACAGTTTACCAAGTTCTTTTATCCTTCCCTGCAATAACTTCATGAAATAGGTTTGATAAGCGTTATTCTTACCATCTGAGAGAGGAAAACATAGAGTAAACTACTTGCAGAAGTTCAC